ATACTTCTACTGTAATGCTGTAATGGCCAAAAATATTATCCCTAAAATTATTGTAACTGAAAAAATATTTCCAACAATAAAAGATTATACAAAATTATTTATATCTTTACTTTGAAATTTCATGATTCATAAACAAGTTAATCCCCGATCACTATATCAAGATCAATTAATAATTCTCTAATGCTAAAGACTAACTAATCAACCAATTGACTAGTTAATTGACTAGTCGATTAGTTAGTCAATCGATTAATCGATTAGCCCGATTAATTGATCAATCGAGTAATCTGATTAATCGATCAATTGATTAATTGATTAATTGGGCTAATCAATTAATCGCACGTTTGTAAAGGTCAATTGATTAATCGTCGATTCGATTAATTAATCGATTAATCGATTTTCGATTTGGAACACTAAGCTAATCTTTAATGTTTATTGTTGAATAAATAAGCAAAGGATGAAACACTATTTCATCCTTTGTAGATATCTCCTTTGCCAATTGTTAATTACAAGGTTGTCTTATTTTAGACATTATATGATTAGAAAATTCTGTAAAAGTACAATATAAACACATTAGAATTTGTTTAGTTTTTTTTGTTGTTACCTTGCTAGATTCATACAACCTATCACATGCAGGACAAGTTGTATAATTATTTATGCATAAATCTAAATTCATTAACTTTCTGGCCAAATAGAGTGACTTAGAAAAGTTTTTAAACTAATCCTGATCAAGATATATCAATAGATAATAAATAAATTTAACTAATGATTCTGTTACAGTATCAGGTAACTGATATTTTTGTTAATATCTTAGGATTCAGATTAATATTCAACCAAAGCTATTATCAAGATTATCAATATGTTTAAATTCTTCATTATCTTTGTTTTCAATATTAGATGCAGAATAGTCCATTATAGTTTCCTCATTATCACTATCAGGCTCTATTTCTGCAACTTCTTCTTCATTATTAGAAATATTTAAAGTCTCAAGAACTATATCAATGTCAGGTTGTTTTCTAATTATAGCTTTTACTTTTTTTTTTTTGTTTTTAGTTACAAGAAATGATTCTTCTTGAAATTCAGGATCAAGTAAAGTAGGTGAAGAGATATTAATTGAAGATATACTGCTAGGTTCTATTTGAGGATCAGTTAGAGAAGGAATATCAGGATGAAGTTCATAAAAATGTAATAATTCCTTACAAATTCCATATTTTGCAATATAAGCATTTTTTGTAGAGATCATAGGGTTCTTTTTTACCTTTGTATATATTACATAGGCAAATAATCTTTTTTTGAGTTTTTGTTGCAGGTAATTTAATAAATATTTGATGACTTATTTTCAAAGTATTTTAAGAGTTATAATGTTAGATATCAGGAGGCAAAATAAACAAGAAGTCTTTAAATACAAAATTTTGTAATATATTTTATTATTTACTATATTACTATAATTTTTTACAGCGATTAAAAATGGATACAAAAGATATTTTATTGAAAAATTAATAAATTCTCTTTTATGTCTTATATTTTTAACTACAGGTTAATAGATATCATTTAAAAATTTCATTTAACAACACATTCTTAAAAGTTTTTTGCAACAAATTTCAAACTATTAGTACTATTAAAGAATGAAAACTTCAAAGAATAGTTGTTACTACACATAAACCAGAACAAAAGTATCAGTAATTTAGTCTATCAAAAATAAACTAAAAAGGAAATAATATTAAATTGCAATGCGACTTTCCAAGATAAGTATAAACTTATTGTACTATACAAGTCTAACTTAAATAAGTAATATAATGCTTATTATTATAATATATATAATAATTAAAGGGTACAATTTCAAAAGATCACTAGCAATATACTAATATTTATTCTTGTAATACTAATCGAAAAGATTTAAATTAGTTTTAAAATGCAGCTATAATGAATATAGCTAATATAATTACAATACAGATTTATTAAAAATAATACAGCATTTCAATCAATTAATAATAGATGAAATCAATTAGCCTATATTATACCAATATTGATATAAAATATATATATATACTGTATATTTAAAAAGGTATCTATTATCTAATATAAATATTATATAGAACTCTAATTTATATAGCCTATTAATATGGCAGCTTAGTGAAGTGGTCTAGTTGTTACCCCTTCAAGCAGCAGGTTTAAAGTTCAAATTCCATAAACAACAATTTTGAAAAATTAAATCTGTGTTCACTAATGATTATTTATTAATTAGTTGGATCTACAATTTGTAATCTCGGTTGTACCATCTTGTTATAAAAGCTTTGACGTATAAATTCCAAGAAACTAGGATGATCAAAACCTGTTTGGGAAGACATGAGTAAGGAGTAGTGAAAACTTTTGACAGTGCCACAGAAAGACTGAATTCAGAACTGAAAACTGAGACTGAAGAACCGAGTGACCAGGTCCTTAAGTAGGAGAACACACCAGCCGAATTGCCAGATTACCAACCAGAGAAAAAGAACATGTGCTCTGAAAGCATGTACCAAGAGAAGGGAGACTGAAAGGCACCTAAAGCCTGGGCAGACCAACCCTTCGGGTTGCCAGCTAGAAACAAGAGAGAGACTAGTAAAGAATTCAGGAAAGAAAGAAAGTTCGAATATGGGTACTGGGTAGAAATGAACTTTACAAGAGCAAAGAATATGTGTAGCTTGGATAACCAGGCTCAATAGTATATGGGTAAAGCCATAGCACAGTATTTCTGAACCAAATCTAGAAACGTGTAGAACGTAGAAGGATTTAGGGGTATCTACTGCGCCCTTTCTCAGGTAAATACCAGTTGATTAGATTCAAAGAGTTTATCTATAAAGAGGTAAAGTTAGTGAAGAAATGCCAGCCTGGGTAGTCTTTGTGCAGTACGAGGTGAGATGGTTTGAACCAAACAGAGCAATACAGGACTGGGAGCTTAAACAGATAACTTTCTAGTTGGGCTACAGATATGATATCTAGTGTAGAACTTTCGGGCAGACTATTTAAATAGGCACCCAAAAGGTGCACGTGTAGCTTGATATACTTTTATAAATCTAGAAATATACTTGCAGCATGTAACAATATAAAAATGTAATAACATTTAAATATTACTTCTAATAAAGTTCACCTGTCATAACAATTTAGCAATATAAAAAAAAAAAAATAAAAAAATAAAAAAATATAGCCTATTAATGATTTTAATTAAGATGAAAATTTTGGTATCCCAATATCTATATAGGATTACATTTAATACTTTAATTCCAGAACAATGCCGATATATATCTTCATATCTAAATAAATAAATACATATCTAAAAAAAATAAATACATATCTAATAAATTATTATACATATAAAATAAATACAGTATATATCGATACCATAAGGTCATATAAATTTGTAAATTACTAGACCCAGCCTATTTTGAATCCCGATATCTGTAGCAGTATCAAGTCCAGAACAATACCGATACATATCTAAAAGGTCATGCTTCAATTTTTAAGTCCAGAACGATCCCAGTACATCAAGAAATTTTGCCTTGAAAATACATAGTAATTACTATGCCCCATAAGATTACCAACACTTCAGAATTTTAATTTATAACTTACTAGACATAATCTAGAGATTATGTCTAGTAAATTATAAATTTAAACTCAAAAGTTTGTTTTAATGATCTTACGCACTTTGTTTTGATGCGTTATATCTTTTTTTTCAACGTCTATATAAGAGAAGATCATGACACTTGTGTAATACATTTTTTCTCTTCTCTACTTTTTCACGAAATCACGAAAAGTAAAAAAAAAAAATAAACAAATAAATAAATAGTTCACATTATTTTTTCTTATAGATAAAAAAACTTATCTATTACTTTAAATATAGTCGATAAAAAACTATTAACAATGAGCTATTCTAGCATTTCATCTTCTTCTTTGCCACCTCAAAGAAGTGAATTATCTGATAAAGATAACAGATTACATATTGGGTATAAATTTGTAGTACATATGCATGTTCATGTTAAGTGTAACTCTACGTTTTTTTTTTGTTAAGTAAATGGCTTTGGATGGCTTTGACATTTTTTTTTGTTTTTTATTATAGATAAAATAAAAACATTAAGAAATAAGATAAAAAATCTGGGAAATAAAATCGATAAATTTATCAAAAATTCTAGAAAAAAAGCCCAAAAACAAGATAGCAGCAGCAGTAGTAATAACAACAGCAACAACAACAGCAATGACAGTAGCAATGATAACAGCAACAACAGCAGCAATGATAGCAGCAACAACAATGACAACCACCACAGCAACAAAAGAAGAGGCAAAAAAACAAGAAAAGCCTCAAAAAGAAGTCGTAGGGAATTGTTACCTAAAACAAAAAAGTTGTTAAGAGTATATACAAATATTGGGTTATTTTTTTTTATTTTTTTTTTTAACTCTTTGACAGTCTTGTTGGAACCTTTATTACTAGATAATTACTTTTACATATGTTATTACACATGTTATTTATCTAAACTAAAATAAATAGGTCTGGCATCATCCGGTTGCTTCTCGAGTACCTAGATGTGACCTGTCGCACTACTCTACGCATAGAGCAGAAAACATTGTCAGCCCCATCAAGAGCCAAACCAGAACGGCTTCGAACCGTTATTTATCATCTCCTCAATTGCATCATCCTACCTCTTTTTAACCTCTCTTGCTTTCTGCTGACTTCTCTTTAGTCTATCTTTTCTTTCATCTTTAGACGGGCATCTTCTTGATCCTACCGGGCAGTTTGTGCTTTCTTCTCCTTTGCATGTATTTCCTGGTCTTGTCTTTTGTCTTTTCTGCTTTGCTGTGATACCTTCTTGTCTTTCCCATTGGTTTACCTTGTAGCATCTCTTCTTCCATATAAAATCAAAACACCCATTTCTGAAGATATAGAAAATGTTCTTTAGGCACTCGTCCACTATCTTCTTGG